ATGTGGAAGACTGGGACACACTCTGAGAGGGTGCACACACAGGCAGAAGACACATCCACCCCTCGGCACAGGATCGCCTAGAATGTTTCAATGCTAAAGCCAATAACGACGAAGAAGAGAGATTCTCGCATAACCACTAAGCAACGCCAAAGAACAACAAATCATGGCAGGAAAGGTAAAAGCACCGACTCAATGGACAACATCCAAGTCCGAATGTTTGACGCTAATTCCGGTAAGTTTCTCGAAACACAAACTATCCGTTATAATTCAAAGACTAACCCTGTGCAGGACACCATCCCAACTCATAACACAAAGGAAAACACTTCCCTCCCAAAGAACCAGCCCACTAAGAGTCAGCCCACAAGGGATCGGCCCAATACAAGCACAAAAAAGAAAGCGGGTCTATAAAGGAAAGACCCAATACCCAGCAAGGATAAGGGGCCTACACCCCAAAAACATACTGCCCAGGCGGCCCCCAAAGGGACAAAATCAACAGGCCTAAAGGGCCCAAGTGAGAGCCTGAAAACGTTTCAGGGGGAGGCCCACATCAGCCCCAAACCCACAATCTCCATAGAGGACCCAGCCCATTCCACCGCCTGCATCACCAATGATGGCCCCTACCGAGCTACATCACCCCTACCAATACACTCTGTAAAAAATTCCATGGTTACTCAAGTGCCATCACTGATAAATCCCAAAATCTTAAGTGATTTGATAATCTCCATCAACTCAACCGGATCCTTATTTAATTTCAAAGCCAGTTATTAGACACAGGTTACGAAACACTAATAACATGTGTCGATTCAATCCCATCATCAGCCATGACCCTTGATTACCCAATAACACTCTAATTAATAGTAGCCCAAAAAAGGAACACAAAAAACCCAAAAATGGATCTGTCTACCAAACCCCCAATTGTTTTGACCATTATCCCACCGCCACAGGACCACACGCCGGCGTCCTAGTTAGAGATTGCTCTCTATGACCAGGGACTATGCTATAATTTTCAGTTGGAAAACTAGCCAATATCGCTTATCATCCAAAATTTGGCCCATCTGGCAAGAGTCACAACAGAAGCATTAACTAGAGGTTTGGCGACGTTTGGAGCCCAAGTATGGCAGTCAATGGTTCTACAGAGTAGCTTCAACCCTCTACAGTCAACCAACGATACACCTTCAGTTCATAACCTGATGCAACAGATATTCAACACCATCTCATTCTTCCCAGACCCAGTAATATCGGACCCATCTGCCACACCCCAGTTCACAGTCCTAGAATAATAGCCCCAACAGGAGCCTTCGTATTCAATGCAAGAGAAGCAACACTCCCCACCACTGGGGAACATTTCGAAAGAGATAACCAAAGCCCTAAAGATACTAAAAATTCAAAAAACATCCAAGGAGGAGGAGCCTCAGAACTCTTACTGCCTAATAAGAACGGAGTCCCTATGGCTAGATGCAGTAAGAGCAGTGGAATTTAGTGTGGATTACAGCGAGACGCTGATCCTACTATGTCCCAAAACTCTTGCAAGATGTGGATTGAACCTTTCCTCTCATCAGAGTCAGGAAGTGTTGAAACCACTATTGACCCTAACTCTAGTTATGAGAGCCCAGACACCATTAGCGAGGATGAAGGATATAAAGCTAGCCTAGGGAACGGACAAGGCACCGATAGGAACTCTCCAGACAAACCCACACCCCCTAATGAACTTCATCATATGGAATGTTATGGGGAAAATAGTGCGAATTTCAGAAGACACTGCTCATAAATGGTAAAGATTCACAAACCAGCAATGCTAGTCTTGTTGGAAACCAAGATGGAATATCACAAGAAGCTCACAGAGGAACTACAATATGATCTACATATTCAATTCCCAGCAATAGGCCACTTTGGAAGTATCGTCATCATGTGGAAAGAGTCCATTCTCTAAGTAGATGAAGTAGCATCTACATCACAGGGGTATCCATGCAATGGCCAAGGTACTGCCCTCCAACCCCTCATTGGTTCTTTTCTGCAATTTATGCTAGTAACTATATAGAGGATCGAAAAACCCTTTGGGATAACCTGATTGATATCTCTGAGCACTTAAATGGTTATTGATTTATGGGTGGGGATTTTAATGAAGTTTTGAAAGCAAGAGATAAATTTGGGGGAAACCACATTAACACAAAAAATAAGTAACTTATTTTGGAATTGCATTAACTATTGTAGACTAGTTGACCTATGCTATAAAGGTAGTAAGTACACTTGGTCCAACAAGCGTTATAAAAAAGGTCCAGCCTTATCCTTGAGAGAATTGATAGATGTTTTGCTAACAACTGCTGGGTAAATGAGTTCCCAGATGCTTCTGTTACTAATCTAGCTAGGACCCACTCTGACCACTACCCTCTCCTTGTCAAGCTCAATAATAGCACCCAAGAGGCTACTACTAAGCCCTTTAGATTTGCATCCATGTGGTGTTGTCACCCAACCTTCCCAGCTCTCATTAGGGACTCCTTTCCAACCCACTCCTTCTTAATACCTTCATCTCTTAGGTTCAAAACCAACTCATTCAACCCTACTAGATGCATTAGGCAGGGTGACCCTATATCTTCTTACCTATTCATTATGTGTATGGAAAGACTCTCCAAGACTATTGAGAGGAATGTCCAAAATAAGGAGTGGTGCCCAATTAGCATAAGCAGGTCTGGTCCTAAAATCTCTCACTTGTTCTTTGCTAATGATCTAACCCTTTTTGCTACAGCTGACCAGAAAAATTGCACCACAATCATCAACACTAACTCTTTCAATCAGGCATCAGGCCAAAAAAATCAATCTTGCCAAATCAAGAGCCTTCTTCTCTGCCAACTGCCAACCCCACCAAATGGAGTCCAACTTCAGCAGTCTTTCTATTCAAACCACAGCCACCTTTGGCAAATATGTGGGATTCCCTATCTTCCACAAAAGGCCTGTAAATAGTGATTTTCAATTTACCATAGACAACATGCATACCAAAATGTCTGGTTAGAAAACAAACATAGTAAACATGACATGGATGACTACCCTAGCAAAAGCCTCTCCGAACAGCATCCCTAACCATGTCATGCAATACAACAAGCTCCCCTAAAAGACGTCTAGGGATATTGATAGAATTCAAAGGAACTTCATCTGGGGCACCACACCAAACAAAATGAAGATGCATATTGTGGCCTGGGACACTGTCACAAAGCCTAAGTCCCAGGGATACCTAGGAATCCAAAAGGCAGAATTAAAAAACAAAGCCATCCACTCTAGACTGGCCTGGAGGCTCTATCACAACACATCCTCCCTCTGGGCAAAAACCCTTATTGCAAAACATTGCAACTGGAGACACCCACCAAGAAAGCAAAATCTACCACTTGGCAATGCATTCTCAAAAGGTGGAAAACATGTTCACAAGCCAAGAGATGTGGTAGTCCACACAGGGAACAAAGTCAGCTTCATCAATGACCCCTGGATCCCAAACCACCCATCCATTAGGACCATGATTGAAGGTCCCCTTACCCAAGCTGATTTGTCAACCACAATTGCTACAATCTACAATAATGGGACCTGGAATACCTCATCCATCTCCCTAAACATCCCTACAAACATCAGAAACATGCTCCTAAACACTTTCATCCTACCCAACCCCATAAAAGAAGATAGGATGATCTGGGGAAACACTGCCATTGAACTCTTCAGCACCAGGTCAGCCTACTCTCTTCTTGCCAACTTTGCCTCATTGGAAGTAATAAACACAGGCAACAACTACTCATGGATATGGAAACTGAGAGCACCAAAAAGATCAAATCCTTCATATGGTTCTTCTATCATGAAAGGCTCCCATTGGATCCTTTCTCCACCATGTTGGGTTACACTTGAACCCAATGTGTTGTTTCTGCAACCAGGCCATTGAGACATCTGCCCACATATTCTTTGAGTTCCCCAACAAAATCCTTCTAGGAAACTTTGACCTCAAAGAGTACCTTTGAAGCTCAAACTCAGAACATTACCTTCAATAGGCGGGACTGGCCTAACACATGTGCCACACTCAAAAGAAAGCCTTTCAATAGCATCATCACTTGGGAAGATCTCTTCCCCTTTAGCTTTTGGCAGATCTGGATCACCAGAAATAATAACCTCTTCAACAAAAAGAAAGACATGGTCACTGCAAATGTTGATTTGGCAAAAGCGACTGAGTATATCACTTTCTCAATTGGCAAATCAGCCACAAAAGAGAAAACTATCACGGTCAAATGGATCCCCCCCCCCACACACACACACACACCAAGAGACCACTACAAACTTAACACTAATAGGTTGTTGTGGGGAATCCGGGCTAGGGAGGTGTGGGATGAGTTTTCAGAAATGCAAGTGAGAACTGGGTACTCGGCTTCATGGGTAGCATGCAACACTCTACTAATACACAAGCGGAGCTTTTTGCTGTGCTGAGAGGATGGCAGCTTGCTGATGAAAGAGGGTTAACACCTCTGGAAATCAACACTGATTCTACTGAGGTAACAAGAATGCTTAACAACGGAAATCATGTATTTGACTCAGTTTTTTTTGAATGCATGTCAATCATCCTAAGGCTAGGAGACGTAGCGGTGAAGCACAGCTACAAGAAGACGAACAAAGTAGCTGATTTATTAGCAAATGAGGGTGCAAAGAAGGATTTTTTGATAGACTTTATGTAATAACAGTTCCTCCGGTGTTTGCTAATCATGACTGTTTTCTCGGACAAATTTTGGATTGTAATATTGTTACTTTCGGTCCTAGCGAGGGGAACACTAATACCCCTGATAAACAATGCTACTATTATACCCTAACGGATAAGGTTTAAAATATTTTAGAATAGCCTAGTTAACCAAAAAAGACAAATAGAAAGTACAACAGGAGTATTACAATTGGGACCCATGGACCCAGCCCTAATTACACGTGATAAACACGTGCAATAGCTACGAACAAGATTTCCCCAAATTCTACACCTCAGATCATCATTGACAACGACTCAAACTGATTTTCTCTGAAACTTCGTCCCAGAAACTTCTTCAGCTAAGTCATCGAATCCCGCGTAAGTACAAATTCATCTTCCTCCTCCCAATTCTGCAATTTCTCTCTCCCGTTCTTACATACACGTTTCTCTACTCAATCTCCCATTTCGCAATTCAATCGAAAACCCTAAATCTCATCACAGCATAGCCGCCGACGAAGGAGAAGAAGTTTGTAGAAAGATGAGGAGAGTTTTCGGTGTTAAGAAACAAACAGAACCTCCTCCCTCCATTCAAGACGCTTCCGATCGGGTATCGTACCTAAACTCCTTAATTACTCCAATGCAGTCGTTAATTGTAGCTCGATTGTTATAATACAGTACTCCTATCTGTTTTACGATAAGGATATGGAAAATTTGTGTTGCAAATTTTGATATATAGGTTGGCCTAATTAGACCGATTCACTAACATATATATAGGTGATATAATACAAAAACTTTGCCAGGCATATACATATACACCAAGTTTAATTAATTCTAAACAAGCTTGGTATACTTTTGTTCAACATTATGTGCAAAACAAAATTTAATTTAACCCATGATTAAAGTGACAACAGCTGACCAAAAAAGAATAACCCGTATCATGCGTTTAATGGTTTGGTGTATACACTGATTTGCACAAAATTGGTTTATTCAATTTAATTTGCTTGTTGGTGCTTCAATGTAATGCGGTTGTTTTTAGTTTTGCAATTTTTTTGTCAGACACTTGCCCAAGTATTGCTCAAAGGTACATGTATATGTTCACAGAGGTATATGAATCCTATACTCCTTTAACTGGGTGCACAAGAAGGTTTCTTCACATTCATATGATCTAATCACGATACAGGCAGATAGCATGTTTGGTCAACCTTCAAGGAAGCTATAAGTGCTTATTTTGGAGAGTTAGGGTGTTTGACCAAGTTTTTAGGAAAAATATAAGTGCTTTTGACAAGTAGCTGAAGCTATTTTCCAGAAGGTAAAAAAGTAGTTTTTCCCTAGAAGCACTTTTGGAAACTTGGCCGAGCACAAATTGCTGCTTTAATAATTGAGAAACTGCTTTTCAAATTGATTAGTCAAAAAATAAACTTGTTCTCCAAAAGTACTTTTTCAAAAAACAATTATAGAAAAAAAGCTCTTTTCAAAGGAAGCAGATTTTGGATGCTAGGTCAAACAGGCTAAGAGTATTGTGCTGTTCAATGGTTAACTATTCGGTGTTGAGTAAGCATTGTGCTTGTTTCTTCTTCAACTTGTGGGGCGTTGTATTTCATGAGCTAGCATGCATGACGTTTCATACCAAAGTCATTTCTAAACTTGTTATACTGTCAAACTTATTGCTTTCATGCAGATATGGTTGTTTTTTCATTTTCGGTTAAAGTTAGACTAACATAGTTTTTCCATTTCCTTCGAACCAGCCCTCTAATCTCTCATGCGTGCGTATTTGTCCATCGAATTCGTTATGCGTTGGATGAGATGAATGATGTGTATCTTTCTGAGAGCTAGTGGCCTTCTCTGTTCTGTATTTTCTAATTTCCTTTTGAACGCATTTTACCAAAGGAACGCATAAGTGTATTCATTACCTGATAAAACAATCTTTTCCAGTAAAAAAAAAGTTGTGCTCGTGCTTTGCATCAGATTTCTAATTTATCAGTTCTTATATGTCCAGATCAATAAAAGAGGTGACACCGTAGAGGAGAAAATCAAGAAGCTTGATGCTGAACTTGCGAGATACAAGGAACAGCTGAAGAAGACCCGGCCAGGTCCAGCTCAGGAAGCTGTAAAAGCTCGAGCAATGAGGGTATTGAAGCAGAAAAGAATGTGAGTCTATCCTCTATTAGAGTACAGTGAGGTTTAAAGCGGCTGTTGAGCTTCAAATTGACTGCTTTGTGGGCAGGTGTATAGTTGCATTAGAGGTCAACATTTAGTTTCTGGTATAAGTGAGCTGTTTAAACACAGAGAATAAAGTGCTGAAAGAACTGAGAAAATACATTTGTGGGGTTACATTGATGTAACCATATTATGAGGAAGAAAAACATTTTGTTAGTCACTTTTGACAGCTTTTCTCACAAGGTCTAGTTCTTGAAAGGGTTTGTTGTTACTTCGTCCAATAAATAAATGAAACAAGAACTGATCCTTGTATCAGTTCCGACTTTGGAAACTCACCAACTTGCAACCCACTAAAAGAAATTTAAAATTTAAAAAAAGGAGAAGAAAAAAGGTCTGACTTCTTAAGCTATACGTGATTACTCTATTAACTCCACCTGGATTTCATATGAAGCAAAAGTAGATGGCCCGCTAATGATGGTGAATGTTCTGTTTACCTTAATACATTTCTCTACGTTTTGCTTTCTTGTTTAGGGTAGATATTATTTTTTCCAGGTTGGATAGTTCTTCCAATTTGGGAGGAAACATTTTTTGCTTGTTTGACAAGCTTATAGTTTTTATTTTTATCTATTGTTTAGAATGCATGATATATTTTGTTGAATATTCAACAGGTATGAAGGTCAACGTGACATGCTCTACAATCAGACATACAACCTAGATCAAGTTTCATTTGCTGCTGAAGGAATCAAAGATGCTCAGCAAACAGTATGTTAAATGGAGTTTATGCTCTTTCTTTACTATTACTTTTTTCAGATACCTAGTTTTCTCCCATTTTGTTTATGAATTGCGTAACTCAAAATGGGCAGCTACCTGTAATTATCTTTTAGGTGCCTTGATAAAGTAAAATTCTTTTTTACCGTCAGTGTATAAAGGTTAAACTCTTTAAAAAACTATTATACGATTACACCTGTAGGATACTTGTCTATTGTTAGGTCTGATAATCCAAGTCTCTGCAAGCCTCATTTAGCCTTTTTTTGTTTGAAGTTTGAGTACTTAATTGATATTCAAGTCTTAACATTCGTTTCAAAAGGAACATACATTTTGATGGGAGAATCATTTTCTTTACCCCAATCCATTTGATTGGAAATTCTTGGTTTCTTGAGTTAGCGTCACTGACAACTCTGATTCAGTGATGAGTACATCAAGTGAATGTTATTTGTGTAAATGAAGGAATACGATTTGTCTATTTAACTCATGGTCATCCTGGATCAATAATTATTAGGTTTTTCAAGTTACTAAGGTTAATAATGTCGAACTTTTGGGCTATATCAATTCATGGTAAAGTGTATTTTTTCTTGATGGCGGCCCACTGGTCATTGATTACAGCTCAAGGCTTATCAGGTGAACAATTGCCTACCTCCCTAGAGGTAGGGAGGTAGACTTATTTATCACGATGAACAGATTTCATTATGTGGCCTAGAGTTTCTATATCCTATGTGATCCCATGTTGGAGATTTGATGTTTGAAGGAACAATTGAACAATTGGATTAATTTATATACAGTAGAATTTGCAAGTACTAACTTGGTTATATTCCAACAGATGTCAGCTTTGAAGTCGGCAAACAAGGAATTGAAAGGAATGATGAAGACAGTGAAGATTAATGATATAGATGTATGTATTCTTCGTTGCGGTTATGTTTTAGTATCCTTGTGCATTTATCCTCAGTCCTTTCCGAATTTGTCATGGTTGTTAATTGTGATATTATTATGCGTAAATTTAGAACCTGCAAGATGAAATGATGGACCTGATGGATGTGAGCAATGAAATTCAAGAGACTCTTGGTAGAAGCTACAGCGTGCCAGATGACATTGATGAAGAAGAACTCATGGGTGGTAAGCTTAAGTAGCAACATATTTATGTAGAGAAGTAAAAAATATGTCGGATGAGCATTTAAGTTGTCAATTTTATGCAGAGCTTGATGCTCTGGAAGCCGACATGGACACAGAAGGCGAAGGTGTCCCTTCATATCTTCAACCTGAGCCCGATTTGGATGCAGAGCTTAGCCTACCATCAGCACCAACCGGGCATGCACCCATGCCAGCTGGGAGAGCTAACCCGCAGGTAAAGACAAATGTTGTATGGCATAGTAATTAGTCTACCTGTACGTAGATAGTCAGTTATATGCATGTATACATTTGTGTGCATATTAGAGCCTGCATCTTTTCGTATGAAAATGAAGTTATATTTATTTACTTGGAAAGCCTGCATTTTCGTATGAAAATGACATCTTCCCAGTCTGAGAAGGAAGGTTGTTATGCCTCCTCTCCCAGCCCTCTCCATTGCTTCACTTTTTCCTGTTTTCTTTTTGTTTTGGTTTCTGTTTTTGTTAGGTTTTCCCTTCTTTCATGTGAAATGGATGAGCGAATGCACGTTGATGATTTTTCTTTTACTTCTGATGCACAGGCTGATGATGAACTAGGATTACCTGCTGTCCCTCGCGCATCCATTCGTGGTTAAATAAAGGAGTGGTATACTGTTGATAACTTCTTTGGGATTACTCTTTGTTTGTTGGGAAAATCCCGGTGTAAACATAGTGTGCAGAATATATTTCATTGCCATTTCCAAATGACTAGTGGTGATTCATTGTAATAATGAACAAAATACTTGATTGTATTATGCAATTCAGTATCTTATCCTTGATCAACAAAGAAAAGAAATCACATGCAACATTTGGGACTTTGGATTACTTTCCGGGTCTGGTTTTTTCCTATAAAATAGGTTGTGGGCTGCAAAGATGCTCTATTTTGGTGCTGGTGCCATGTTCGGCTATCTTAAGGTAGGTATTTAACGTCCTTGCTGAAACCTGGTAAAATGGCGATCAGATTTTGTGCGTGTAAAAATTGCTGCCAGAGTAAAACTTTGTTCTTAGTGGAAACTACTACTACTGCAGTCCTGCTAATGAATTTTGACCAAATGTTTGTGCTGAAGTGCATGTAACTGGATTTATCTCCCACGCATTATATATCTTAATATGAGGCGATGTTTGGAAGCCATAATAGCCCCTGAGATGCAGCATGCCAATTGCCTAGCACGGAAGGTTGAGATGAAATTAAAATTTAAGCTTAATGAGTTTAACCTTTTAAGGTTCTTAGCATTGAATTAATCTATTAGATACGGTTCTAGTAGATTTCTATGTATAAATTTAAGGGTCGTGATGGAAGGCTCCAATCTAGTCGAATTGACAGATAATGCAGGTTGTCTAACGTTTGGTATAGTTGTATTTGCCTCTTTAGGTTAAACAGAATTTGATCCTCGACCCTCTTCTATCTACCTGAATTAACTATGTAGTTGTTTGCACATGCACAAAAATCACGACACAAATTGTTCTTTCCTTTTCTCAGTACTGACAATTCTGATGTTGTCATAATTTGCACCTTAAATAAGATTGTGGTACTGACAATTTAAAAAGGGATTTTTAATCCACCTAAAGATTTTCTCTTTTCTTTTTTTTTATATTTATAGATAAGGATGCGGGAGACATTGAGTTGATTAAAAACGAAGTCAATTAGGCAGTGCATTCACAGTTAACCCTAATAGTGTCATTCCCATTTGGAACATACTACTACATCCTAAAGAGGATTTACAGGCTTGAGTCTAAAGGAGTTCCATCAATAACATTTTGAAGGATGTTGTAATGAAGAAAAATATGCCCAAAGAGATCAACTTCCTTTAGTTGAGATCCAGCTTTCCAAAGTCCAGCATCTGCCAAGCAGCAGCAGAACTAAGCTTCTTGAAGTTGGGAGAATGTGCTAAATATCTCAATCTTTCCAATTCTTTTCTCAGTGACCTGTACTGGGCTGCATAGAGTTTTGATATAATGTCAGATCATTCGCATAGCGCTATGCTTCACCTCTTTTTCGAAATACCATGTAATCAAGGACTTCTGCTGCCAACCCTCAATGGGGGAGGCAGGAACCAAGAAAAAGTTGAGTGCACAAGTCACACCAAATAAAGGAATAGCAGTGGTACATCAACCGATATGAAGTGAAAGAAAGACAAAACACAATGATACTTGCTAAGAATTGCAATTGACTACAAACGGAAATTTTGAATCTCGGCAGCTATAATATATTCCATTTAGTCTTTCCATGGAAAATTTTCGCAATCCAATGATAGAGAGGGTAGATAAAGAGAGAACTTCTGAAACTTTTGGTGTTCTACTACCTCATGAATAATTGAGGCAAATAAGAAACAAAATAAGACGAACACGAAGCAGTTAATTGATTGACTTTAACAATTATAGAGTGCAACAAAATTCCAGCACTTAAGTCGTTCAGGAAAGACAAAAAAGAAAGCAAAAGAAAATCATTACGAGTTGAGTAACTAGTTCAATAAACTACACATGAAATAAGTATTATGGATGGATTAATTGATCCAAAGATGAATAACTCACCGTCAACAATGACTTTTTCCTGCTGAAGTCTGAGCATCTGTTGCTTTAGCTCTCTATTCTCCATTGATAAAGCAACACGCTGCTGAAGCAGAGAAGCAACCTTGGCGGCTAACTCTGACTCTAGAGCCTGCATTCAAAAAGTGATACTTTCACCACTCAGTTACACAACACAACAGTGTGTAAGATTAAGCACCATATTGCTATGTAACACTAGATATTCTGTTGCTTGCAAAACACGACTGATCATTAGAAACTAATGCAAACAGCATTAGGGCCACCAATGATTTTTTTATTTGGTTAAATTCAGGTCATAAAAGATTGTTGTTCTTGAAGGAGTGATTTAAAACATTTTCAATTATCACGAAACTACTTAATATAACATTGGGATCTCAACTATGATTTCGAATCATGGTCTTCCCTCAAGTCAATCTTATAGTGATTAATCAATTCCTTAATCTGTGCTGTTTTAACTTATATGTGAAGCCCAACTCATATCCACATTATGAATTTTTCATTAAAGGAAAGCTTCGGAAAAAGTCGGATTGTAGTAATGGTAACAGGGCAGTATTCCCTACATCATAGCAAGTACCTCATATGTGTTGACAGTTCTCTCTAGTTCAGCAATGTATTGAAGTTTACGGACTCTTGACCGCTGTCCAGGATGCCTGTATATGAATTGCCAAAATAATCGTCAACTGTTGTATATTTCTCTAGAAAATGTCTTAGAATGATATAAATCCTCCTGATTTTTGACAGACTTGAAAATAATATGAAACAAGAGCATACACTAAGCAAGTTAACAATTTTATTATAAAATTTTTTTAGTAATTAATATTAAGTAGGGGGATAGTTTAAAAAGGAAAATTGTTGGGACAACTACTGAGAAAGTTTGACAAAAATAGGTAATACGGAATGATCGCTAGAACAGAAATAATATAACACCGTAGCAATCTCATTTGTTATCTACCAATATTTCGGGATTCAGTTGGTCATGAATTTCGCATGGTGCTGCTTTTCACAAGTCCAGGCATACCCCGTAAAATTGGAGCGTTAACCCTATCCTTAGTAGCAGTATAGGCTTAAAGAATGACGAGTGACAGGGCAGTTCTCAATGGGGTTGGTACTTTATTTGTTGCATAGATGATTTAACTACTGACAGTTAAACTTTGCAATTGAAACTCCTTAACATAATCAGCCAATGAACAAGAATTGAACAAAGAGAGATTAGCCACGCGCTGAAAGGGATTGAGTGAGACATTGATGCAAAGTTTTTTGGCATTTTCATTCCATTTAGAAGAGTTTGTCAAGGTCGTTCTTCAAAAAATTCAATATCATATATAAACCTACTTTTTCAGCACCTAATACCTCCGGTAAAGAGAGATTAGCCGCGCGCTGAAAGGGATTGAGCAAAACATTGATGCAAAAGGTTTTTGGCATTTTCACTCCATTTAGAAGAGCTTGTCAAGTTCGTTCTTCAAAAAATTGAACATCATGATAAACCTACTTTTTCAGCACCTAATACCTCCAGATAAGATTTGGTAAAGACGACCCAACAGGCACATCAAATTTCCAATAATGCAAGAGATTTAACTAATAGACGGTCGTTAAAAAAGTAAAAGAAGCTTCTCTGGGCCATATGTCTACAATGAGTAAGAAGCATTTCAACAACTTGTGTAACAAAGTGGAAAGACGTCTTCATAGGATAGAAGGAACCAAAACGGCATTCTTTATTAACCAGACAGTATTTCATAAAAGAACTCTTTTGAGTTCTCTCGATTTCCCTTTTCAATTGGAAAAACTTGCTGATTTTGGAAGTTGGATGAGCTCTCTAAGTGTATCATTACAACTCATAGGTCCCTTAGGGAGAATGTCAATTGACCATGAAGATCAAGCTGCACAAGGGAAGATCACTAACACTAGATATATGTGTATCCTTTATCAGTTACCACAATTATTATGCGTTTTCAAGATATTGCAAACTGCTCCCTCTATGCAGCTAAGTCAATGAGATTATTAGTGCCTATGGTAGCCATTTAACCAAACTGAAATAATATAATTTAAGTTCCTAATTCATGCTAATAGCAGTTGCTTTTTCCTATAAAATAAGCAATCTTAAGTTTGTATTTATACAAGAGGATGCTGACCCTGTACAAAACACAAACTAGAAATATTAGCAATTTTATAAGGTGCATGCCTCATAATTTCAGGGAACATTTGGAGTGATGTTGCTCTACCAAAAATAATACGCATTTAACAACAGAAAAGTAGATATAGATAATACATCATCAACTAATAATGAAAAATCTTGGAATAAGCATAAGAATCTGGAATCTAACCGTTTCATTGCCTTTGCCTCAGCATTGACATCATCAGCTGCACCAGAGACATTGCCTGCTACTGCTAACTCCGATTGTGCAGCTCCAGACACAGAAATACACCTATCTAAATATTGTAAAGGGTTTGGAGACACATATTCCGATAATGCTGAAACTATAGCATTCTCAGCAAAGGTTACATTGCTCTTTCCACGGGGCGAATTAGGACCATAGACGCAATTAGTCTTCAAACTACTATCCGATTCACAAGATGCATTGGATTCAGTTTCGTCAAGCTTATCGAAACCTTCCAACGAAACAAGACCATCCAAAAGCGTAAAAGAATCACTAGCTGATCTCCTATGCATTATGCCATCGGAATTTGAGTTCGATTCATTCAGCAGCTCATCAAGCCATGCGGGCTGCTCCTCTAAGATATAGCTCTGTGAAATAGACTTATGATGTCGAGGAGGTAACGGGTTATGTTGGTGTGATGTTGGGTTAAAAGGGTCTTGAACTGGACTAGTTAATGGTTTCTTCTGAAACGGGCAGCGAGGCGGAAGATGAGCTTGTCTTGACATGGTGAACTTAACTACTAAGTGACCCTATCAAAGCTTTATGATTTTGTTTTTCACTCCTTCACAACAGAATCTAATACAAGAAGTCTTTCTCCCATGTTTCTTCCATCATCTTATAACCTAAATTCTACAAAAAGTTTTACAAAACATGAAAATTAGAAATTATATTTTGTTTTTTAAAAAAAGTATTAAAAATCAACCAAAAATTCCATGAGAACAGAAATCCAAGAATTTTATATTGGAGAGTAAAACAATTGGGAGTTAAGTCTAGGCAAGAAAATCAATAGCTAGAAGCACAAAAGAGCTTATGACATTTAAGTATCTGAATTTGTTCCCCTGTATTTCATAATATAAGAATAATTTCTCAGTAGGTTAAAGTTCATAGGAAAGATTATTTTATAATAAATTAGCCTATTTTACTTCCCAAATTTAAAACAATGAGCCTGGGGAGCAAAAGAGAACAATAAAACAAAAAGAATTTTGAGTTCACTTTGAAAATATCTATTAAACCCTCGATGAAACAGCAAACCAAGAAACCAAAAATACCCAAATGCAGAAAAGGAATAATGCAAAGTACAAAAAACAGAGAAGGAGGAAAAATAGGAAGCAAGATAAGGCAAATTACACAATCTACATTCCCCATTGATTAAGCACTAGAAAGAAATCCAAAACCCAAACTGAACACTAAACCCTCAAGTTTTTTAACAACAGAAAAACACATTGTCAAAGGAAGAACATCAAGAGAATTGTTACAAAAAACAAAAAAGAAAAGAACCCCACAAACAAAAAACTGTATCTTTTTTTTCTTCTAAATTCTTGAAAAAATATTCTGGGCATACCTTATTTCTTCTCTTTCTTGGTGGGATTTTTTTTTTTT